AAAAAAAAAAAAAAGAAAAATTAAAAAAAGGAAAAAACGGAATCACTTATATGTACTCTTTGTATCTTTGTATCTGGGCTTTTTTTTTTTTTCCACCTAGTATATGGTTGTAAGTCATTCCATATTTCTTGTTATTGCTCAAAAGATCTCTGGTATGAATATACTATCTTTTTTTTATTCATCCACTCTTTGATGGTTATTTGAGGCTCTTTGATTGTGGTTTAGTTTATTTCATTACCTGCCTGGGCTAGTTCTGTGGATTCTGGCTGCCCTCCTCACTTTGCTTTTTTATCGAGGTGACAACTGGTGTTATATTAGTTTCAGGCGTAAAATGTCATCCTTGGGTCTTTGTCTACACTGCAAAGTGGTCACCGCAAGAGGATCTCTTTTCCTTCCTTCCCTCCCTCCCCTCTTCTCCTTCTTCCTACTTCCTGCCTCCCTGGAAGTCACTCCCATCTCGACTTCCTAGATGGGATGCTGCGCAATTCATGAATCGTTTCATAAAGCCAATTACATCTTCAAATTCTCTTGGTTAAAATTTGTGTTTTAGCAGCACTGGTAAGGGTTACATCTTTTGTCGAGGGGACACATATGGATTGGAGCACACACACATTTACCATTCAAGCAGCTTGCAAATCTGCCCTGGCCTCTACTTTTTCTGTGCAAAGCTTCGTGTCTGGCCAGGGATAAGCAGAGAACTGGCCCGCTATGCTCTCTCCTTAGTATGTGCGCAACGTTCCACACTTCCAGGAATACATGACAGCTCATCAGGCCCCACCATGGCTGACTCATTTCCCTGATATCTGTTAAATTTTGGCCGCTCTATTCTTTGCCTTAACGGGTATTGCAGCCCTAGGCAGCAGTCTTGTTGACCTTTGATTTTTGCCACCCATTGTTATTATTTTCTACAACCTCCCTCGGCATGAGGCCTCTCTGCAGAGCTCCAGGGTGGGTACACCCTTCCGGTGACAGCAAAACCGTAGGTCCTTGGCTTCCAGAATCACCAAGCCAGGGGAGGGATGGGAGCAGCCTGGCGTCAGTCACTCTGTTGTTCTTGCTGAGGGTAAGGTAGCTCTGGAGTAAGTACTTCTCAATCTATTGTATATCTCTGGTCATTTTCCAGAATTCTGAAATTGCTTATTTAGAAAATCATGTCCTTTGTTATCACCGATAGTTAGGGAAAGAACGTGCTGAGCCCCTTACCCAGCCACTCTGGACACCTTGCTCCCTGTGAACATTTTGTAATATTATAAATCAAACAAGCAAGAGTTTCCATTCCTAACCACTGAAAGCAAAATGCAACACTACTCGTAACCACTTGTCAAGATGGTGACAAGCCGTAAGTCTGGAACTATTTCAAGCTCCTTTAAAGCAGAACAGTTTACTTATCTACAGGGGATCTACCCCAGGGTCAGAAAAAAATATTTACCTTGTTTCTGGTAATCATATTGTTCATGATGGTGTTGGTATTGTCCTAAGACCATCTTGCGTGTGTGGTCTAATGGGATGTAGCATAGAGTGGGGTGGGTGAGGACGTATTTGTGTTGGTTCATCGGCGGCCAGTTTTTCCTCATGGGAGAAGAAGTTGCTGTGAGTTAAAGGAATAAAACTCTGTGGTTCTGGACTTGAAAAGAAATTTATACAAATGTGAACTCATTATGGTATTCTTTTTTTTTTTTTTTTCCACGTATCAATCTTTTAATGTCGAGACATAAGAAAATGACCAACCAGAAAACAGCTTTCCGTTGGCCTAGTGGAGATCATTCGTTACAAGTAGCCATTCTGGCAAACTGCACAGCTGGGCGTGAAGTCAGGGCAGCCCCTGCTCCATTGTCACCTCCAGGCTGAGCCCCCCTACCTCCCGTAGAATCAGAGCATGCGGTGAGCGAAGCCAAACTTCTCGGGCCTCCTCTTTGCCTCTTCCTTCTGAACCAAGAGGGGAGAGAATAACCAGCAAAGGTTGTGTTGTTATCCAGAGGGGAGGATGTGAGAACGTCACTGTCAGCGTCCTTTATACCTGGGGGCTCGGCGCCCACAGGACGATTTTAAGAGGCCCCCGTGTAGACATGTGATTGGCTCCCAGAACGGACATTTTGGTCTGAACCGTGAGGGTTGCAGCAGACACAGAGTGGGCAGATGGTAGGGAGAGGCCAGGAAGCGAGTGTCACAAATGTTATGTCTTCAAAGAAATAAGGCATGTGCTGCTGTCCCCAACTGCCATCAGGAAAGGAGTGGCTCAAACCAGGGTCTTTGCAAAAATATAGTCTGTGTGCGGAGACCCCCTTTCAGCAAAAGGTGAAGGTCCTAGAATGGAATGCTGGAAGAACTTTTATTAATCCTCTGGGTTAAAATGACAGTTAAAGTCACTTGGGGAAAGAGAGAAACACCAACTACACCTCCCTTCAAGCTTTAGTGGCCGACAGGAATCCAGGCTCTGA